TTGTGTCTCCCTCTCTCTCTCTGCCCCTCCCTCACTCACACTCTGTCTCTCTCCAAAATAAACATTTAAAAAAAATTAAAAAACAAAAAGTTTATGTGTTTTAGTGTGGGTCTCTGAGTTCATCTTGAGAGTTCACTGAGCTTCCTGGGTGTTTCCTCAAACTTGGGAAACGTTCAGCCATTGTTTCTTCCAATACTTTCTCTCTCTCTCTCTCTCTCTCTCTCTCTCCTCCTTCTGGGACGCCCACAATGCATACGTTGGTCTGCTTGGTGGGATCCCACACGTCCCTTAGGTCCCATTAACTTTAACTTTTTTTTTCTTTCTGTTCCTCAAACTCAGCTTCCTAGAGCTGTACAGTATTCAAATTAATGCTAACAAGTCGCACAGGCACGTGCTCACATTCTTCAAGATAAACCTGAGGCCGGAACGCTGAGCCTCTGTTCTCACAACAGGATTTTAGGGTCCTAGAGGGACGTCTTCACCTATGAAGCTCTGTGTTTGTTGCCGGCAGACACACGTGACTTCCAATAGGACAGACTCTGCTCTCCTATCATCTTGGCGTGTCACCAAGACGTGAAAACCTAGCCGTGTCCGTGGGGCCACACTGCAGAGGGCCGCCGGGCCTCCAGTGCGAGCACGTGTACACGGTGCTCCGCGCGTCCTCGTGAGGTAGGCCGTGCACACCCTCCACCAGACACTGAACGAACGCTTCCCCTCGATCCCTTTGCTCGTCAATAAAACCAAGCTCCTAAGCAGAAGGGGAATACAAAGCACGTGCCAGGCTCCACTAAGTCGGCGTTCACGCATTTTAGTATACCCTCATTGACCTTTGAAGCGGATGCCGTTCTCCCCACGGACACCGAGGGTGCTGAGCACGGAGGTCGCTGTTGGCGGACTGAGTACTGAGCCCAGAGCGGCAGGCTTCAGAGCCAAGCGGACGGAAAGTCCTTCCCTGCAGCACGAGGCCGGCACCTGTTCTCCCTGAATATACAAAAGCTGCACCTTGCCTTCTTCCTGTTTCTTTTAACCCGAAGCCCTGGTTTTCTGCTGCAATCTGGTCACAGGTGGCTCTTTCTCAGTCTTCCTTTTGGCCGTATGTTCTGCTTTGCCTCAGCTTTTCTCAGGCCCAGGGTGAAAAAGGGCCTCAGGCCACGCCTGCGTCTACTGCCCACGTTCTCCTCTGAGCCAGCGCTAACACCTACCCCTGACTCGAAGCAGACCCCGCCAGTCCATTAGTCGATCAACACGTACTATACTCTGGCCTGGGAAACCTCATGCAAGAGGCAGACAAGACGCTGACTCAGCAATCAGTGCAGTGAGGTCGTAGCTATGGGAATTTAGGGCACCGCAACCAAAATTGGGCGTTCACAGAAGGCTCCCCAAAGGTGGCCCCCTCCCCAAGGTGAGACAGAAAGGGGGGAAGAGCATGTGCAAACATGACGTCACAGGAACGGGGGCAGGTGACGGGTGGTGCCAAGTGAGGCTCTGTTACAAGTGATGCCACCAGGGTCCTGAGAGAAGCGAGCCCGGAGGCTGGTGTGGGTGGGGGCTGGGCTCATGACTGCAGGGGAAAAGGGCTTAAGTGTGAAAGTGGAAGGATGCTTAGCAAGAAGCTCTGACTCCCAAGGCAAACCTACAGGCAAGGCCGACTCTGACTTGGGGGGTGCGGGGGGGGGGGGGGGGGGGGGGGGGGGTGCGGGTGGTGTCCAGGCTGGGAGTTCAGGGTCGAGGGCACTTTGAATCTGCCTCGTACTTAGTGTCTGCTGTCGGGTCCCGGCCGGGGTGCCCCGCTGCCACGGGATCACCGCACCACTTCTGGAGGCTGCCTCCCCCTCCCCCTCCCCTCTGGCCCTTCCCACTACGGAAGTCCTAGGTTTCAGGAACTGAACGTTAGACGACAGCTGGCTGTGTAGACGAGTACAAGGCAGGGCCGGCCTCCCTCCATGGCCTCCTGCCACCACCTCCTTCCCCCTCCACCACCTCCCCCCTGCCTCCAGCCACACCGGCCACAGACTGGTTAGGACACATGCTGCAACCACCAGACTGCTTTCACGGACGGTGCAATGCTGCAGTTGAATAATATTTTAAATCTTAATCACAAGAATTTACATATAGCCCTATCAAGCTTCACTTGATTAACTTTGGTTCTACATCTCAACCTACCGAAAGGCAATTGTGAGTTCTATTTTGTCACGTGACACATTCTTCCCAGTTCTACACTTTATGTAATTTCGATAGCCTTTAAGGAAGAACTGAGCAAATCCTGGGACACGGGATTTCAGAAACAGGTCTCCACACCTCAACAGGAGGGCGCAGAACACAAGGGAAGTACGGGCCGGAGGAGCACAGGCTTTTCTCCCTCCCACGGGTGATAGGGAGCAAATGGGTCATTTATTTCACTCTAGAGCTTACATGTGTCATAGATTTAACTCGGGCGCGTTGAATATGCTTTATTCTAAGCACTTTTCAGTTTCAAAAAAACAATGCATGTATCACAAACGCTTGAACAGAAAAGGTGCCGTAAAAAAGTTGGAGATATCCTCGGGGCGCCTGGGTGGCTCAGTCGGTTGAGCATCTGACTTCAGCTCAGGTCATGATCTTGCCATTCGTGGGTTCAAGCGCCACGTCGGGCTCTGTGCTCACGGCTCGGAGCCTGGAGCCTGCTTCCGATTCTGCGTCTCCCTCTCTCTCTGCCCCTCCCCTGCTCATGCTCTGTCTCTCTCAAAATAAACATTAAAAAAATTAAAAAAAAAAAGTTGGAGATATCCTGAACTTTACTGATAGGACCTAAAAGGCCAAGACGTCAGAGGGAAGACTCGAGGGAGGAAACCCTTCTGAACATGAAGTGAGTGTTCAAAGACTGAAAACGATGGTCTTCCGGGCAGTCTTCCCATGGAAGCCTGTCAAATTTTCTGTCCTGTTCGGTGTTTCAGCTGCTTGATACGTGGTTATTTTCAGTTCTGTTCTCAGGCTACTCAGTCCTTTCCAGGGTGGGACTGCTGGCTGCCAGCTGAAGCTCCCCCATAGACGCCTGGCTTGCACGAGAGGGAGTGGCCTGGGACGAGGCAGAAGAAGGCACCAGGAAGGCACAGAGCTGCCAGGCCCACCCCCAAACCTCCACACGCACAACCCAGAAGCTCCGTGAACACTCTGTACCTGAAGTTCCAAGTCCTTCTAACAAACGCCAAGGTGAAGTAGGAAGTACTCTCTGCACTCAGAGGTCCTGTGCTTACTGAGGGTTCTTTCTACCCCAAAGAGAAGATGAACCCTTACAAAGGTGCAGAGTACCAAATGCCAGCAGCTAACAGAGATGCTGTTAGCGTGACCTTTAAACCTGTAAAACCAGTCCACACCACCAGGCAGCCCCTCGGTCTCCACTCTAGTCTTGGCCCCGTTTCTGGTCTCCAACTGTACTTACAGGGAGAACCTAAGACAATCGGTAGGAGTACAGAGCACAGAATTTCCCGGTCTGAAAACACATCTTTTTCCTGCCATTTGTTGACTTTTGGAAGCACAGGTGGAAAAGAGGAAAGAAAAGAGCAGGCCAGCACCCTGCACCGGCCTCTCCCAGTGCCCGTTACTTGACACACAACACAGACGGGCACGTCCCCGTCCATGGCACACTGACCTCACAATCCAGGAATCCAGGCTTGTTCCCGCTGCTCCGCACAGACGTCTGGACACCTTCGGCAGTGGAGACCAGATCTACGGTCAGCAGAACGGGCTGCCTGGTGCTGCAGGGTCCCGTATCAGTCAGGGTTTTTATACCGTGTATTTGTGATGTTATAACATCACGGGGGCCTTGCTGGCTGCGGAGACACTGCCCCTCCCAGGGCTAATTCCTACAGACAGTGAACCATTCCCCTGTAAACTCACATTTTATGTACAGACCCACAGATCCAGAGCCCACACTCCCAACCACCTCCTTTATCTGGCTCTTGCACACCAGCCAGTATTTCCTCTGCCGCACATCCCCCAGGGCCAGGACTCAACACGCAGAAAGCACTCCTATAGCCCAGAGCCTGCTGAAACTACTCACACTATCCAGCCTCGGCCATTCATTCCTGCAGAAGCCACACGTTCTCCTCTCCCTCAGCCTCCTGACCGACCCTGGAGCTTCCCCGAGTGGCCCTGCACGGCACGTCCCCACCTCCCGGGAATGTGGTGAATGAACTCCCCTTTCCGGACAGCAGGCTCAAGGTGTATCTTCCCACTCCTGGTTAGAGCAAAGCACGTACATTTCCACAAGCTGACAGTCTGCACGCCAGCAACCGCGCTCCCAGGTGAAATGCTCCACACACGCGGCTACGAGCACCTTCCGGGGCAGACGGGATCACCCGAGTGCCACCTGGGCAGCTACGTGCCTAGAGCTTCCCAGTGGTCCGCCCGTGTCCCATGACAGGTCCCTTCAACAGGGGCTGCTGTGCCCACAAAGGCGGCATTGCCGGTGCTGCCTGCCTGCTGGGCACCGGCCCTGGTACCAGATGCCAGAAGGTGCCCAGGGGACAGCAGTGCTTCCTTCCTGACACTGTTTACAAAAGCCAAGTCCCGAGCCTCCTTGCTCCACCTCACTAGCGCCCGTCTCATCATCCAAGCCGCGCTGATGCCGTCCTCAGCATCTTGACACTGATGGCACTCGGGAAACGGAGGTGCCCCTCGCCCGGGAGCAGCTGCTCTAGGTCACACGTGGAGCAGGGTTTCTTTCACTTCCTTCCAACAGTGCTGTGACGCCCCTGACCCACACTCCCTGCATGGCAGCGGTCCTGCCCGGGGGAAAACTAGACGTGGGGCCGTTCCAAGTCCGCCAGGAGGACAGCGCTTAGGGAATGAGCGGGATCACACACAAGGCGACGCTCTGCCTTGCTTGCTGGGAGCCCGCGAGGGGTGAAAAGCGGGACAAAGACGCCTGACTGTCCCCACAGGCCCCCTTCCTTCTCAGGCTAAGGCACAAGGCTGCCCGGGCGGTGGGACCGTGGTTCCGCCCAGCAGAGCCTCACACCTCACCCCCTCTCCGCCCGCCCCTCAGTCACCTCCGCCCTTCCTGCCGCCCCTTGGGAGCCATCCAGGTCAGGGTCCGGGTGGCCGCTCGCCGCCCCCGACAGGTGGTTCTCGCGGGAGAGGTCACCATCTGCGCAGGGTGTGGCTGCCACGTTTCCCTCTCGTGTGTGTGTCAGTGGAGACTCCGCGGGGCTCTCGCTCCTGCACCCTCGCTCTTTCCTCCTCTTATATTCCATGATCTGTTTGTTGAGTGCCTCGTGATCAATCCCACACAGACTTGAGCAGGCGGCAGGGCCCTGGGTGCTGCGTGAAGGGGCGTCCAGGGCCCCACAGCCCCTGGAGGGGAGAAGAGACGTCAGGTGAAGCGTGGGTGAAGCCGGGCGGTGTGGGGGCTCCTGGCCACCTCCTGGTGGACCCACTGACGTCCGAGGGAGGCTGGGGGATACGGCACGGGGAAGGGGCTCCGCCCCCATGTATGGTGCAGCCCAGGACAGCTTGGACACAGCCCTCCCGTCAGATGCCCTCTCAGTTGCTTTTCCCCAAATACAGCCAGAGTGCTAGGCCCGTCAGGCAGAATTTTGAGTATGGTCCTTTACATGTGCCACTCAGGGTACTTGTCAAAACCCAAACATGGCCGTGTCCTGCCTCTGACCCCCCTCCTGCTCAGCTACGGAAGGCTCAACTCCCTGCTCGTCCGGGATGTGGGCACTCACTGCTGCCTGGGGCCCTCGGGGCGCAGCGTCCCCTCCCCTGGCAAGCAGGTTGCTGGGGGCCCCACCCAAGTCCTGACAGTGCTGCCCCTGACGCTGAGGCGCCCGCTCTGAGAACACAGGCTCAGGACCTGCTGAAGCTCTTCCAGAACCCGGAACGGGGCTCCTCCACATACAGCTCACGTCTCTTTCTCAGCTGCAGCACCGCTCCCACCTCCTGACCCCCCCCCCCCACCGGAAGGGGTGTCCTACATGCCCTTCTTGACACACAATCATCTGTGGATTCACTGCTCCCTGTGGGTCTCCGCCAGCAAAATGCAAGCTCCAAAGACCCCAATGTCTGTTCTATTCACATACGTATTGTACATGCTAGAACAGAGCCACAGGACATGCTCAGTAAAAATGTGCCGAATGGAAAAACAGGGCGAGGGAGAGACACCTGTCCCCTCTCCAGGAGTTACCACAGCGATGGCAGATGCCATGGGCTCCAGCACTGTCGGGTAGACCACCGAGGCACTCCGAGCAGCCTTGCTGAGTACTCAGAACCACTGCAGACTGCCCCCAGGACCCGCCACAGGTCACTGCCAGGCTGCTGGGGCAGTGCATGGCCAGGGGTGCAGAACTGGGCAGCTGCCGTGGGAATCACACCAGGGCATTTGCCCAGGACAATCAAAACCATGTCCACGTGTACCTGGCATCACTTTGCACACGGTCTTCTCTTTCCTCTGGGGGCCCAAAATCAGCATTTGCCAGTAACCAATCAACCTGGAAAGGGGCATAGAGAGCAATTCAGTAAGCCACACCTCTGTGCACCTGCACCACGGCCCAACTCAGACACAGGACTTCCAACTGTCCTCCGTGCCCCTCCGGTGACATCCCCCAGGGATGAGGCCATTCACCAGTCTGTGCTTTCAAACACCTGTTACTTAACAATCACATTTTCTCTAATAACGAACCGAGGCTTTCCTAAAACTACACTTAAAACTTGTAAACTTCAGGCAAATTTATGAAGAAACCAGTTAACTATTAGCTCAATTAAGTAACGTTTCCTGATTCCGAATGAAGTTGTATAAAACACTTAAACTGAACTTTGCCACAGAACTTGTGTGTTTGGGAAAAGAAAGCCTCCTGGCATAGCAACAAAGCCACAGCCAGGGGCGCGGCATGCGAATCCAGCTCCAAGGTGTCTGAGGGGCCCAATCTGGAAACAAGAGCTCCCCTCGGTGGGGGAACGCACAGCACTGCTGAGCCCAGGGTGCTACACAGGCCCCTGCTCCCCGGATACCAGGGGCGGCTCCCACCTCTACCTGAGTGCCCAGGACACACACCTGGACCCTACCTGGCCACAGTGCCGGCCCGGGACGGCCCAGATCCGGGACCAGGGCCCGGCGTTCTGCAGCAACAGACTGCATCATCGCAAACCAACGGCAGAACCAAGGGAAAAGTCAGTCCACAGAAAATACCAGAAACAGCACTAACGATGCCACAACACGAGGACCAAGCACGGGTCTCCCAAGCTGGCTGGGAGAACGTGTGCTTGCGCCCGACAAGGACAGGACGCGTGGCCATCCTGTGAAGGTCCACCCTGAGCACAACTCACAAGACTGGGCAAAAGACCTGGTGGGACCTGACGAAACAAGGAAAGGCCACCAGGCACAGGGGAAGGTGCTCGACTAGTCATCGAGAAGACACACGTGAGCCATGCCACGGCGCCCCGCTCACCTGCAACCAGCGGCTTCCTCACAATTACAGACACTTGCCACTCCTACGTGCTGACCTAAGAGACACAGAAACATCCATCCACACAAAAACGTGTACACACGTGTTCACAACAGCTTCACTCAGAGCAAGCGAGAATTAGAAAGACAGACAAACGTCCGTGAAGTGAACAAATGAAACGTAGTGTATTCGTATAATGACCCCACTTACCAAGAAAAAAAGAACCACTCACACCGAAACAACGTGAATCTCAAAAACAGTGCTGAGCAAAAGCAGCCAGGTGCCAAGACAACGTCCTTGGTGTGAAATTGCAGAAATCTAACAAGGAAAACTTGGGGCACCCTGTTGGCTGGGTCGGAAGAGCATCCGACTCCTGACCTCAGGGTCACGAGTTCAAGTCCCACGTTGGGTGTAGAGATATAGAACTTAAAAAAAAAAAAAAAAAAAAA